GCTAATCTATTTTGGTTGTACTTAGGCGTTGTGCGTGAAGTTCTACGTCGAAGGCAACGTCCATTGTTATTTGCTTGATTTGCGTGTTTTTTAGTATGCAACGCGTATTGCTCGGCGGACAGAAAGCCATGAAAAGTATCGTTTCCCGTACGATTAGTTCCCGATTGGTCGGCAAAACCAATTGTGCCGCATGTCTTGTGGTTGCCGGTCGACAGGCGTCAACTGCCGGCGCCGTTCTTCCATTCGCTCAGCTTCAGACAATGCGATGTGGCTTCCAAAGGTATGAACAGCTGCATCACTGTAAATTCAGACTTTTGCCGAATATATGCTGAGCCTTACGCGGTGTGCGACTTTTCGGCAACAAAGTGATACTTTGCAGAAATGCTCACCTGGTCCTAAATCCAAATTCTTCCTGCTTTTTTCACTATGTGTTGTAAAACAGAATGGCCTTGTCGCTTGACAGCACCTTAGTCCCCTTCCTATAGCTACTGGCATCGCAGATCTACTGTTTTCAGCTCATTAGCCCATTCTACTTAGATAAGGAGAACGGGATAGCTTCCTTCAGGAAGCATTACCAGTGGCCCAGGTTCTCTTTCAAATGGACAGGCGCAGTGGAGTGGATTCTGAAACATTTGTTCCTTTGTCATGTGTTATTAAGCTAGAATTAAGCTAGCTGTTAAAATATCCTCAACTGGTAGTCTACAACTTATCAGTCAACATGATGTTTTCTGTAGTTTTCAAGGATGATCCGAAACTTATTGATTCATTACAAGTAGAGATTCTTGAATTGAGTATCCCTGCCATTTCTGATGTCATCAGATCATGCCCTGAGGTGGCCACGAAGTTTACTCCCCTCTGTATTCGTCTTGCCCTTAGAAGTTTCATGAATTTTTTCGCTGACTTGTTCTCTCTCATTTACTGGAATGAGCGTACCGTTGTAAGTAACCAGTATCCATTGTTGTTCTTGTGAATGATATATATTTCTGTTCGATTCCGGTTCATTTTCAGTCACGTGTGAAGTATCGAGCCATAGTTCGAGGCAGTTATCGCCAGAAAAAATGTTCTGTTTATTATGTAAAACTACTGTTCTGACACAAAGTTGTTTACCATTTGATGAGAAAACTCGACCAAATTACTGTTACGGGAACTAAGTGACCATTAATATCAAGAAGGCTTAAAATCTTTGTGACATATGTCTCCAAATGGTTTTCAGCCCATGAAATCTTAGACTCTGACACCAGACTGCTTTATTATTGTATTTCTAATCAACTACTTGAATACTTGAAACGGTTTCTTGTTCTGCCTGTACGAAGCGAAGCAAACAGGATGTCAGAAATGACTTACCATCGACTGAGATTAACAGATTATGATAACTTACTCTACAATAAAGACTGGCTGTTCGAGTGCAGGAGCTACGTTGACGGCGTGCGACTAACATAGGAAGAACACAGGGACAGTGAAACAATGAAAACTAGTTCGACTTTTTGTCGGCGCTTTTGGGATTGGTTTCGCGTGTACCCAAAAAGTTTCTAGGGGATCTTTGTCAGTCAGTAGCACATAGGTAGCGAGTGTTAGACGGTCTGTATGGGGGAAAAGGTTGACTGACAGCTGTTGTAAACAGGTGTTTTACTGTTGGCTGCACAGTTGCGTAGTATAACTTTAATCCGTTATTGCTCCCTCACAGTTTTAGCGCGCTTTTTGACGCCTTATACTGCGATGTCATGCGAAATATTTTCCTGTGTTCAAGGAAGGCTGCTTTTACTGTAGCCATAAACGTTTTTAATTGTGGCCGGCCATTTTATCTACATGGAGCAGTAAGCCAGTTTTTGTCTTCAGCAGAGCTGTGACTATCACCAGGCGCTCTAATGCAGTTCTGAGAAAGAAACAACTAACTTAATTCTAGGCAGTGGATCGTTAAGAAGAACACAGTTTATTTCTGATATAAATTACACATTTAGCGTTTCTACCGTCCTTTGTTCACTCATTCATTGAGTGGGTTTTTTGAGAACTTATTTAGCAGCAAGATGCTAAAGTTCTGTTTTCTCTTCGGATGCAATTAGACCTTACTCGGCATATTTTGTTTAAAAAGTGCAACGTGTATGTTGGCTCGCGTTGCGCTTGAACCAAATGACTTAATCACAGAGTGCACGCCTGTGAATTTGCAGTCACAGAATGCTAATCTAACGCCACATGTCTCCTTTGGTTGAATCCGGTCATCATCCAGTCAAGTAAATTTAACATCTAAACATTTTCCTTCATTTACAGATGACGAATGATAATTAACTTCTCAAACTTGCATCGATGATGTGTCCGAAGATAGAGTAATCTGTTCGTGCGTTGGTGACCATACTGAAAAAATAGCGTAAAACGTGATTTACTTATTCACGACGCAAAAGATTATATGGCCAGTGCGATTACTGACCAATGCCGACGTTTTGACCCGTGTCTCGCGGGCCTTCTTCAAGGTAGTGATAGTAGGGAAGTTTCGTGAGTGTGGTTCGTCGTCCGCAGCAGTTGGTAGTTTCGAAGCCAGAAGGTAAGCTTTTGGTCCGTGCTGCTAGTTAAATAGCTCTATGGGCGACATGGGCAACGACTCATCGAATCCGCGCAGAGTTCGTATCCTTTGTTATGGCCGACATTTTCGCAGGATTGATGATTAATGACTTTTTATTTGCCTGTTTAATCACTGTCTTTCCTTGATGATGCCGCTACACTCAGACCATCGTGGGAGTGTCCTTGCTTGGCCGTTGTTTCACAAAACCTCTGGGATTGAAAGTGTTTTTTGCTACTTTGCATCTCAAAGTGGCAAACATTCGGAAGGAACGGCAATTTTGGTGTGGTTGTTTTCCTTCTTCAGTCTAGCGAACAGCGTTATTTAGTACCGTATTTGTGAATCGGGTTAACAGGGCTCTGACCGTTGTTTTTGGGTTGAGGGCGGAAAACGTTGGACTGAAATGCATTAAAAATACTTTAAATGAATATGAATGCTCAATAAACGAATAGGAAAGATATAACCTTGGATTTATCAGAATAGTAACAGTAGGTTCATGTTAGTTGGGCACAGAGCAGAGTGCCTTGTGCAACACATCATTTTGATTAAGATGCGAAAATCAGCAATTGAAGCATGGAGGATTTTGAGATCAGGCGTAAAAGGATTAGACAGTGAAGTAGACAGAGAAGAATAAAAAAGGAGATCAGTCTGGTATTGCTTCCATTGCTGTCAGAGAACAGACCATGATATCTTTCCGCATCCATGCACTGCTGTGTGCCATCCAGCTTCCGTTTTCAGTCGACTAATCCCGATTATGTTTCTCCTCCACCACAACTCAAAACTAACTTTTAGTTCTGACCACTCCAGCTCAAAGTCACGAATTCGATGTCAATGAACGTTTGCTATTAGGTAAGCGGCTAGATCAAGTCTGATTTGTCCTATGAGTGGTTTATCATCGTCTGTTGTCAGAATATTGGGGATCTTTGATTAGATTCATCAGCGATCACACGCTTTCTGAATTAATGCTGAGCTA